CTCCTGATCACCAGTACAACAAGTTTAAACTTCCTCCTGATCACCAGTACAAGTTAAAAAGAGAAACTCCAAAAACTGAGTGAGGCACTTTATGTTCCAACTGCTGCTGATTGGAACTCTTTGGTTCTGTTGGGTCTGAACGCAGCACTTCCAGACTTCGGCTGCTCACGAGCCGCGCAGCCGAGCCATTCCTCCAACAACCATGAGATGTGTCATGACGTGAGGTAGAACAATGTAGAGCAGTCAGACATCAGGCAGCTAACAGCTAATTATAGCTTTCACAGAGCTGGTGATGTGGGGGAGGCTGCTTTTAGGAGACTCGTCTCGTCAGCCTCTCATGACCACTAAAGGGCTTCGAACGTGTTCTTTCCAACAGGCACCTGATATGACAGGAAGTCACACAGCTCCTGCACACGCTCACATCCAGTTCCCCCCACTCTCAAAACACGCGTTCCCCGGAGGAGGGGGCGGGATCATTATAGACCGCCTGGAAGAGCCGGCTGCTGTGCTGCGTCACAAACAGGATCCCATTCCAGGGCAGCCAGCAAACCTACGAGGGGGCGACCCTGCAGGGGTTCCATGTGCAGCTCCTTTTAAGGAGGCACAGCCAGTCGCTCTGTCGCTGCCGGACACATTCCCACAGCGGGTGGGGGGGAGGGGGGTCAGCTCACCACAGTCCCCACAAAGTAGCGACAACTGGAGGCAACTCACTCTAAGAGAAAAATCCGACCGAAAAGCACGGCAGACTGACCGACGGGCCGTTTCTACCCCCACCCAGTCTGAGCTGGTTTACAGGGGATGGGGGGGGGGGGCTCCTCAATGGAAAGTTCAAAGAAAAAACAAACAGTCCCGTTTACAGCTATCAGGCACATTAAATGTGAGACATTTAAATGTCAAAGTGAATTAAAATAAAGTGATGTCCTCACAAACTCTGGAGATCAAACTCTGTTCAGCAGACAAACATGAAATCCCCAGTTAGCCCAGTTAGCCCAAACCAGCACTTCTTCAATACGTTTTCACATTTTCTCTGACTTTTCACTTAAATATGAAGGAAACCAAATTTAAAGCATCATCTCCCCGTTCTTCCTCTCCCAAATTATAGTCCGTACTGAAGCTGTGGAGGACGTGCACATGCACGTGCACTTTAAGGCACTGACATCTCCATTAAGATTAAAGCCGTGAACAAAATCCAAAAACTAAACAGGCTTTAAAAAAATAAATCACTTCCTATTCAACCACGTGGACTCGTCTGCAGATGAGGAATGAGAGAGGACACCTGTCCACTGCAACGGTGCCTTCACGAGAACTCTTACATTTATTGCCACTGTTACATTTTTAAGTTTTTTTATTTATTTTTTAGTTGCTATTCTCATCTATTCTTCTTTAGTCTCCTCAGAAGCAGCAGCTTCATGTTCTCGTCACGTCAGACTCATGTTCTGTCAGTTACACGGCAGCCATGTTGGAATGTTCTGGTTGGCCACATAGTAGTTGCTGAAGTTGTGGTCGCGGACGTACGGTGCCGGCTGGTAGTAGCAGGTCACGCAGGAAGCATCCGGGATGGCGCTCAGCTCTGCCAGGACCCTCACGGCCATCAGCGAGAGCAGCTGGAGGGTCTGTCTTCGCTCGTGGCCCATGAGGCACACCGTGCTCTCGTTGACCACCTTCCGCAGAATCTGCAGGTACTCGTACTTGCTCTTGTCCTCACCGATGAAGTGGCTCTGGAGGTAGGCCTCCACCTTGCGCTGCTGCTCCCCTATGTCAGGAAAGTCAATGAAGAAGCGCGAGCACATGTACCTCTCCAGGGCCTTGAACTCCTCCTGATCGGCCGGCTGAAAGTCCCGCACCAGCAGGTTGCAGTACTTCAGCAGGCCGCCACCACGGATCTCCTCGGGTCGTTTGGTGGCGATGAGCTTGTTGCGGAGGTGGTGCAGTGCGGCGCTGAAGTCCCCGTATATGCTCTCCCCGCTGACGGTGGGGTGAGAGGCCTGCGACATGGGCGACTGGGCCTGCTCGTAGTGAGAGAGCATAGAGTCCAGCACGATCTGAAAGGAGTCCACACTGAACTCAAACTGCCGCCGTATTGAGTCCACAAACTTCAGCTCCACGTTGCGGCCGTTGTTGTTCGAGAGAGAGATGAGGCTCCAGCGGTCCTGCTCTGTGTTGACCTTCACCAGCTTTTGGACATAAACCTCTTTGAGGGTCATGGGTGTAATCTTCTCCTTGTTCACACCTTCGGGCAGGAAGTCCAACAGAATCCCCAGCACAACATCCTTAATGAGCCTGAATTCAGTTTCGGTTGGCAGGTCCACCCTGAAGATCACGTCCAGATCCTTGTAGCTCCAGCCGATGTCCTGCACCAGCACGTGGCTGGCTGTGGAGCCATTGAGGCGGATGTCCTTCACCCAGATGCCGCTCTGCTCCAGCCGGGAGCGCACCCGGACAACGATGTCGCTCAGCTGCACGTCCAAGGTGGGAAAGTTCCCTCGTCCGTGAACGGGCACCACCTCCGTCAGAACCTCATGCAGCCTGCTCACCTGCTCCCAGGTGAGAACACTGGCAGAGCTCCGCTTCGATTCCTCCTTGTTATCCATCTTCTCACAAAGTTCAGATTACCTGCGAGATTAAAACCAACAGTTTGAAACTATCACAAACACGTGTGTGTAGCATCTGACGACACAAGCTGGCTGCTGAGCGCGAGCTCGCCACTCGGAGGAGCGCGCGACGCTTCTAGAACAGCTCGCAGCGCGTGCCTCGTTCCAGAAGCGCGCAGACAAATCGCTCGTTTCAAACTAAACAACTTCCTGCGGGAACTTTAGGGACACGTTCAGAGTCAGCAACAAATATTTCAGCCAATATTCGAGAGGGAACCGTGTTCCCGCGGAGAAATAAACACTTTAACTTTAGTGACGTGGGTTCATGTCGCAACATATGGCGGCGACGTTTCAGGCAGCAGCTCCTCCGTTTGGAGAGGAACGACAAAAAGATTTTGAACAATGCTTAACCAGTGTCACGTTTTCAAATACACATGTTGGCTGAGAAAACGTTCATTTTACGACTCAATCAGACAATGCGTTTATTTTAAAAAATAGTTTCGTCCCACAAAAATTAATCAACCATGAATGCAGAGCATACTTTACCGAAAGTGTGGTCCGGAAGCATTCAAAGTTGGATAAAGATGTTAACTCGGCACGCACAACTCCGCATAATCCACTTTCTGAGACAAACACGCCCGATCCGTTCAAAAGTCAGCGTTTAACTTGCTGCCTCCGCGCGGGCACGCCTTTTTATAAAGCCGAAGCACTACCCGACCACAGATCAATGCGCCGCAGCAACACAAAGGGCCACTCACCGAGCTGACGGCATTTCTGACTCAAAACTATTACACAAATCACAGACCGTAAAATAATTCAGGCAAAATCAATTATTTATACTTTTACCTCAAACTCCAAACACTTGTCTTCGGTGGACTGCGCAGTTGAAAATTGGAACGCTTTTTGTACCAGTACGCGAAACAAAGCTTCTGATTGGTCGAGGACGTTTTTGCGTTGCCTAGTAACCAGAAGTTTTAACACAACAGAGCAAAGAAACATAAGAACAAAATAACAAATGACAATGATGCATATCAGTGGCGATTTTAGACTCTCTTTGGTACGACGATGCTTTAGGGCCACATTAAGAAAAAAAAAAATTAAAAGCCATACATCCTGATGCATGCTCAATAATCCAGGTAGAAAAATCTAAAAAAGTTAAATCTAGTCCTCTGGACATTCAAAAAAACTAAACAAAGCAAAACAAACAAACAAACAAAAAAATGTAGAAACGTTTCATCTCTCATTCGAAAGAGTTCCTCAGTCTGAGGTGCTGTATTCAGCTCAGTCTCTTAAATAGCACCTTCTCAGGGTGGATCAACCAGTTTGCTGCTGACAACCAGAACCAGCTGATCACATGCTCAAGAAGGACCATCAGCCTAACAATGGATCATTAGCACCTGATGGCTGTTTACTACTCACAGAGGGCTGAGTGATACTAGCAATCACAGCATTGTAAGAGGGGGACAGTTGAACCTGGAGGCTCCGCCCCTGTTTAATGATGGACGGTTTCTTTTCACAAAGATGGCCTCCTTTACTCCTCTCTCAAACCACACAATTACGAGAATAAAGTCAGAGTCAGCATTTCTTTATTACTGTTCACACCACATGTACCATGTACGAAGTTATGTACACAGGGTTCCAGTTACATACAACAATAAAATGTAAAATTAAAACAGTAATAAGATCTAAGATATTAACTAAGAAAAACATAAATTAAAAATGCACTAAGCATTAATAGCATAAAAACAATACGCCGAACAGCAGCATGAACAACAAAGTCCATGCTCAATAATCCAGGTATACAATCCAACAATTTTCAGTCAGGTCATCTGGACAGTTTTTTTTTCCCATAGTATTACGAGAATAAAGTCGTAAAAGCCTTTTTTTTTTACAGCTCTCATTTATTTTCATTTTTTTCCATGGGTCAGATCCATGATGCGACCTGTCAATCAATCCAATATGCGTGTCAGCAAACGACCAATCCGAAGCTAAATGCTCCTATAAGTGAGTCGCTGGATCTCTTCAGCCTCTTTCTGGCATATTTATTAAAGACCTCTAACAGCGCTGCACGCACACAGTTTCACTCACTGAGCTCCGTTTTCAAACGGAAACAAAATGGATACTCTGAACTGCAGTTCGGCGCATAGGCACAAACAAAAGTCAGAGCCCGTCCCTGCACCCAAAGGTGAAGGGAAGCCACCCTCTCATCTACCAACACACAGGCACCAAGTCAGGGGGCTACAAATAGACCCACATCAGCTCGACGCCTCTCACCTTGGGCAACTCCAGAGTGGAATAAGGTCCATCCCCTCTCAAGGAGATCGGTTCCAGAGCCCATGCTATGTGTCTAGGTGAGCCCAACTACTGTATATCTAGTCTGTACCTCTCAACCTCACGCACAAGCTCAGGCTCCTTCCCTGTCAGAGGGGTTACATTCCATGTAAATGGTAAATGGTAAATGGACTGTACTTATATAGCACCTTTCTATCTTATTTCAAGATACTCAAAGCGCTTTACAACACAATCTGTGTCCTCATTTACCCATTCATACAGCTCTCTGCTAGTTCTCTACAAAGCTAATTGAACACATCATTCTAATTTCTTCTGTAGTGATGTAGGGTTAGGTTAGCTTCAGTTAGCTTAGGAGCTCCACTACAATCAATATTTAATAACGGGTTCTCACTTTTTCGAGCTACTTGACAGATATGTGACAGAGATACTGTGTTGGAGATGGTCTAATTAGTGACATGAGACGTTAATTTTCTTTGACCCATCAAAATGAATGTGGTCATTTATTAACAGAATCAAAATTTAACATCAAAACATTGTACACTTTATTCTGATCGGCTCTGATTAATAAAACTTGGCACGTTTTACTTAATAAAAACAACAGACATTTCTGAAGATATCTGGATTAATTACTGGCAAGATAGAAGAGTTTTAAAGATGGGGAATGAAGGAGTTTGAATGGAGGGAAAAGATGGATGAGGGAAAGTGTGTTGGTGAGGAACAGCACCCTCCATCCGATCCCAGCTCAGCCTCGGTACACTCGGTAGTGAAGCGACTCATTACCTTTGCAGAAGATAGGTCATCTCCCGTACGGAGTTCCATTTCAACGCTATCTTTCAGCGTCTCCTTAGGATGGCTGAGAATCGTCCGAAGTAGTGACGGTACTCCGTTCAACAACACGCTCACCTCCCGGGTGGGCTCACATGAGCTGTGAGTCCGTCAACGGTTCCATAATCCCAACTAGACTCGGAAGAACTCCCAACTAACTCCAGCACTTCAGAACTTTCGGAACCTTTGTTCTCTTCGAACTTCTGTTCTCTTGGAACTTCTGTTCTCCTGGAACTTCTGTTCTCCTGGAACTTCTGTTCTCCTTCGGAACTTCTGTTCTCACTGGAACTAGGAAGTGTCGACTTTTAAAGAGTTCTGCTTCCGGTCCCTTTTGGGAAGTCCTGATTGGTTGAAAGAACCAACAGGGGTGTGGTTTTAGTGACGTCAGAGGGTCACTACAAGTCAGAAAAACAGCGGAGATGTTTAGGAACAGACCAAGAAATGTTTTGGAGAAATGACAGACTTACAGGTGCCAGTTTTCTTGTTTCTGTCTGAGAGGTTTAAAAACATGACAGTTCGTTCCAATAAACTTGTTTGCGACTGTCTCCGACTTTTGACCGACATTACTCCTTTCTCATTTCAGACAGAAGATCAAAATGCATAATTACTTTGTAACATAGACATTTAACTTGATTTCTACTTTGAATGAGGATTAAAAATCATTAATACTGTTTCACAGTTGATTTAAAATGAGTGGTTCACTTCAACATTTAAAAATGATTTGAACTAAACACACTTTTGATTTATCAAGACATTGTAAAATAGTAATGATAATATAAAAAAGCGAGTGTTCTTTCAATTGATTAGTTCAGGATACAATTAGAAAGTCTCTGGATGAGCTAATTTGTATTTCTGGATTCAAATCAATGAAATAACAGTTCCTGTCCCATGAAGGTCTTCAGAGGCAGGTCTTGACCGGAGGCCGAGTTCACTACACTTCTAATTTCTAATTTCTTTTCTTCTAATTTTCCCCATGTTTTTTTTTTTCTTGCTACTCTACGGTGAAACCAGACGTGTTTTCCCCCTCCCCCCCACCCACCCGCTTCCCTGCTGAGCTCTTTTGTCCTGTGAACCCTTAAAAAACCTCTTTTTTTTCTGCATACCTCTTAATTGGAAGGATCAGCTGGTCTCTCAACAAAATCGATCAACTTCTCCCGACAGGAGTCAGGGTAAGGAGGACCCCTCTGACCTCTTTAAGGAACAAGTTGGATTCATGATGACGACTAGAATCTACTGTTTGGTTGGTGGAATCTGGTTGTCTACAAATTCGTGTGGAGGTGTTGAAGCTTGACAGTGCTCGGACTGAATGTGGAGCTGTGACAGGGAATTGGAGCAGCTGTTATCAGGACTGTGATCTCCCTGGCAGCACTCATGAATGGTGGAATAATCTGGAGAAGCTGTGAGCTCGACTTTTGGAGTAAAGAATCAATTCGGCTGTTTTGGAGTTTCCATCAGAGAATATGTACAGCAAGACTTTAAAGGCAGAAACAACAATTCATGAGTTCTGCCTGACCCAAACTGTGGCCTTGATGCCGGACTTATCTCAACTCCTCCTGGAATGTTTTAAATCAACAAAGATGCTTTGACTGTTTCCTCACCCCTCCCTTCCCCAAGGCCATGGACATGTAACAGAACCTCAACTGAGCTGAAGATGAATGTCACCTCTTATCTGGACAATGGCTGGGGGGGGGGGGGGGGGGGGGGG